CTGTCACTTTAAAGCCCTCTAACTCTACACCCTTTAAAGTTTATTTCCCTATTTATTTGCACTAAATCATATGAACTACATTCTCATTCATACAACCTCATGTGATTCTTTCTAATTGTTGACTGAGACAATACCAGCTCGGTTCTTACATGTTCTCACAATAAATTTTAACATCTGGATAAGCCAAATCAAGAAGTAAATAAAGTACATGGATTTAAATCATCACAACTTCTTCCAACATTAAAGATCAATACTCTCGACAACTTTCATCCAAACTTTAATTACTTATCATTTTAAGGAGAAAGATAAAGCAAACTACTCAGAATTCATGAAGAAAATAAAACCACACTTTAGTTTAAAAGTAGAAATCATTGTTAAACCAACAAGAAGTCTCCATTAAAATCAAAAGTAGTTCAAAAAAAAGATAAAAACTTATCTCAAATCCTCCGCCGAACTCTTGAAGTTCTTTTGAATCTCTTCTCTTTTCCAACACTCTTGACTCTCACAATAAAACTAAAAATAAAAATGATAAAGTAAATTTGTGGTGCCTGAAAATCTCTCCAAAACTCTCTCATTTCCAACACTTTTCAGAACTTTCAAGCACAATTTAAAAAGTCTCAACTACCTTCTTTTATAAATCTCCAAGAGGTGCTTTGATAACTCTTCAAAATGTTTCCCAATTCGATGTACTCTCCAAAGGATGCTTCCTTTCCTAAGTCTTTTAATAATATTTTCATTTCTAGTGGTCATAACCACCTTCTTTAGCCAATATGTGCCTCAAGTATCCTTTCAAAATTCAGAAAAATGAAGTAAGCCGTCACATAACTGCCTCTAGTGCTTAAGCGCAGGGCCTCTAGCGCTTAGGCGCGGCCTTCTATGTTTCACCAACGCCTCAGAGCACCCTCCCCAGCGCCGAATCTGGTGTTTTGGCACCAAAACACTTTGGCATAATTTTCACATTTTTTACTCCAAATTTGACCCTTTTTCACTCCTTTTAGAATTTTTCACCTTTTTATTTGTACCTAAAAGAAAAACTTTGTACCTAAAAGAAAAAAACCGCAATATCTCAAAAATAGGTATAAAAATGTGTATAAGAATACTATATATTTTAGGTGTATCAGTACACCATATAATATTCCATTTCATTAATAATATCTCGTTACCTATTCATTTTCACAAAATAAAGAAAATTACAAAGTGACTATACATAGACAACCCGTCATCATTTTCTCCATCCTCCTCACTACTAGAGTTGTTGTCCCCCCCTTGAATCCTAATACATTATCAGTTCAAGAAATTTTTGCATATCCATACATTTAAAGGAGATTATGAAAAGATCATATTGTATCTCTACACAATACCTCTTCTGGTATTCGGGAATGAGCTCTTCATCTCTCTGCACGATTAACATATGATCCACCAACCTCTGATTCTCCTCCTCAAGTGTTTTACAGGACGATGATCACCAGTTAATAGTCTATTCTAGCTCTTCCTTTAGCTCCCTCACACTCCTCTATAGATTGCTATGACCATGGTGCTTGTGTCAAAAAGAATTTGTCAGGGTATTAGAAACCTGTCAAGATAGCACAAGAAGACAGGCTGCTTCCAACACTAGCTCATTCAAGGCCATCCCTGAGAAGCTTTCAAACATTGATGGAGAAGTTATAATAGAGTCTAATGTAGAAGCATATCAAATAGAGGAGGGGTCATGTGAAATCCAGTCCTTAACAAAATCTACATGAGAAAACTGCCCCCAAGGCTTGTCTTTACTTTTGTGTGATAACTTTGTAAAAGAATCCACTTAAGTCGATATGACCCAAAAGAAGGTGTGTAGTTTCTCTTTTGGGTGGAATCATCAACCAGATCTTTCCCCCTACAAAGATGATCGTTTTCCCATCGAGTCCCTTTAGGGAATTGTTCTTTCATTGGTTCACCCTTTCATGACTCCCCAAGCTAGCTCTCTTCTCTTAGCTCGTCACCTTCTGACCTCTCAAATCGAATTTCCTCCCATAGATCATTTTTGCTTGTCCTTAATAACGACGCCCTTGGAAAATCTCAAATAGAAATCCTTTATCATGATAGAAATCTTGTGACACAACTTCTATGGAGCCAATCAACACATCCTAGGGGAGCCTTATCTTGGCGGCCAGAGCCTCACTTCTATTGGATGCTGCACCACTTTCTGACTCCTTATTACCTGGAACATCTATAGTGTGGGCAAAAAAAATTTCTTTCTTATAAGCAGGTTTTTGAATAATGATTAGTTATTCTTCCCCTTTATTTTGGAAAATGATGGTTGAATGAGAGATTGAAAAGGTAAGATTATTAGTTGGAAAGTCCTGGGTTGATCTTTTGCTCTCTATAAAGTCAGGACTACATCTTTACTTCTTCTTTTTGCTTGCATAACATAAAAAAACTGCCTCTTTGCCTTGGTCATCTTGCCTTAAGTATTAGGAGCCGACATCTTGTTAATTGTTGAAGCCTCTGAATATTGGAGAATATTTAAATCCTCTTGTGTGATATCATCATGCTCTCATTGTAGCTCAGGCAAAACCTTCGCCATGGCCTTTCGAAAAGAGACAACATTTAGAATTACCAGGATCGTCCAACTGTTCTTAAAGAAGACAAAATAGGACTTCAACTTCCAATCTATCACCTTATTTTTGACATAACAAAAATGAAAGTAACCCACGAAAGAAATCTAGTTATATTTTTCCGAGTACAGGAAAAAAGGAGAACAAATACTTGAAGAGTTGAATTGACAAAACGACCCCCCTTTAATGGATAAAGATCATGAACACTATTATTATGTAAATTGAAATTGGCATCCCATGAGCGAGTTTGAACCCATAATAATTAAAAAAGTCATGCAATTCCTCACACAACAGGAATTAGAGGTTGAATCAAAGCTGGTTACAATACATTGCCAACATGTTATTCTTTATGATATTCACCCTCTCGTAGATTGACATGATATAGCCGGCTTGGAGTTGATGATCCAGCTGATCGAACTGATATGATCAACTGAAAAAATTGAGTAATAATAATCCTGAGGGATAGCACTGTTGACCAACAATAGAAAATTTCAAGGACATTATCGACATTTCACAATATGACTTCTATTTATTATAAATGTTTGAACAGTAGCATGTAAAGATTTTTTTTTGGGAGTGGAGTAGCTGAATATCACTCATATTATATTTTAGATGCTCTTTTTTTCCTCTTTTCTAAATTTGTATATTGTATTCAAATAGTCATTCTGTCTCTCTCATTATGGGTTACGAAAATATGTACATTCTCTCTAGCAAGCCTATAAATATCAAAATGTAAGGGTTAGACATATAAATTTATAAAAATTATGTGGAATATGTATAAAATTAGGAAAAAATAAAATGAAATAAAATGCTTTCCCAACCTTCCCAAGCGATGCCTAACCTTTCCCAGCCTTCCTTTGGCGGTACCTCTGCGGGGCCGATTCTTTCCTGGCCTACAGCACAGCCGAAGCCAGGAACAAATAAAAGACCGGGAGGGGCTGTATCCTCTTTAAATGACTTAAATACCCCTAATTTCTTCCCAAGCAGCCTCTCTCGCTGTCGTAGTTTTCTTTAAAATTAAGGGTAAATTGTTCACATGCTTTTATCCTCTGCCGTGGGTCTGCGAGGTATCAGATCCACAAACCCTGAGCTTATAGTAGAGGAGCGCGCTGACGAAGAAGTCAAAGTACACGCCAGTTTTCTACCGAAGTCCAAGTTTTTCTTCCGCCAATTGGATACGAAGATGAGCTTTCAGATCTGCAGATCGGCTTCGAGGGCTGCGAGGTCCCTCCTCTCGGCTTCCAAGAACTCGTCGATCCTCTTTCGTAAGTGCTCTGCGGCTCTGTTATGTTTTTTCTTTCATTGTAGTGAAAGCTTAATTCTTTTTTCCATTTTCGGTAGAAATTGTATTATGCAAACTGAGTATTTTAAGGTTTATGTATTTGATTCATATTAGAGGGTGATCTTATTTATATTTATCGTACTTAGTTTTTCTACCACTGTTGGAACACGGTTATGGGTTTACAATGAAAGTGAAACGGTGGGGTATCGTAATTGATGAAGCTTACGAAACACCTTTTGTTATTTTGGGCTCTAATAATGATTTGAGAAAGACAAATTATGTCCAAATTATTGGTTGAAAATGTAGTGCAAGGACTAAGGAGTGATAGAGCCTAGAAAATATCTAATTTTGGATTTATCGGGTATTTTTTTTTTAAGAAGGGGTGCTCAGCTAATTCAGAGAATATTGCGTCTGGATTGCGAACTCCAAGTAAAATGATGGGATCGGATTTTTGTGAATTTAAAAACAAATATGAAAAAAAAAAACTATTTTTTCATGTGACCTAGCCCGAAGACTGCCCGTTAGTATTGTGGTGATATTATTGTGGTATTTTGATGATATTATTGTGGTATTCTTCTTATATTATAGTGTTATTTTTGTGGTATTATTGTGGTATTATGGTAATATTCTGATGATATTTTGATAATATTCTTGTAGTATTTGTTGGTATTCTAGTAGTTTATAGTAGTATTCTTGGATATTCTTGTGATATTCTTGTGATTTTTAGTAGTATTCTGGTTGTATTATGATGTTAATTTGGTAGTGTTTTGATGATATTCTGGTATACAGACAAAATACCATCAGAATATCACAGAAAGACCATCTGGTGATATTATGGTGATATTATGGTGGTATTCTGATAATATTCTTGTGGTAATTTAGTGTATTCAGGTGATAGCATTATTGTGATATTCTGATAGTATTTTCTGGTATTTTGATGGTATTTTAGTAACTTTTTTATGGTATTTTGGTAGTATCCTTGTAGTATTATGATAGATATTTTGATAGTATTTTGATATATTAGCAGAATATCACAAGAATAACAAAATATCACCATAATACCACCATAATACCACCATAATATCATCATAATATCACAAGAATGCCACGGGGCGGTATTTGTGGTGATGTTGTGCGACATTCTAATGATATTATGGTGGTATTTTTGTGACATTATTGTGACATTCTGATGATATTTTAGTGGTATTCTAGGATATTCTGTGGTATTTTTATATTATTCTTGTGATTTTTTTATGGTTTTCGGGTGGCATTATGATTATAATTGGTTGTATTCTATTAGCATTTTGGTATATTAGTAGAATACAACCAGAATACCATAAGAATAACTCCATAATATCACAGGAATACCATTGGAATATCATCATCATATCACCAGAATATCACAAGAATACTACAAAAATACTATCAAAATATCACTATAATAATACCAGAATAACACCTGAATATCACTATAATATCACAAGAACACCACTAGAATACCACCAGGTCATAATACCACCATAATATCGTCAGAATACCACCAGAATATCAATGGACGACTTTCAGGATGGGTCGCTTGAAAAAAATAGTTTTTTCATGTTTTTTTTTAATTCGTTAAAAATTCGATCCCACCGCTTTACAAATAAAGCTGTATTATTAGAGTTTGCATGCTACGTACTCCGAACAAAATGTTTTCTCGAACTAATTAGTGTGGGTATAACACATGTCTATGCTACACTGACGAGCACGAAGTCATATGCATTTGACTGGTGGACCTCTTTGACTAGGTACAATCATTCTATTCCACTTTTGCATTGTTTTGCACTGGCGTGTCCAATAGTAATCATACGAGATTGGTCACTTAAACCTTCTTAAGGTTACAAGGTCTACCGCCCTATACTATACTTTTAGCCTAATATGTCACTCATTTTATTATAGTTAATCTGACTCTAACCTTTGATGTGATAACTAACCTAGCCTAAAGATAGGATTGGACCTACTTAACCTATTCACTTGGAGTGGGCTTTGAAATTTCGCATCCTGACCTCCCTTGAAAGGATGAGAGTTTTATGCTAAAAGTTTAGGTTATATTTTTATAAGATAGATGAAATTTTAGATAACACTACCCAGTGATTTTGTTTTCATTTTGTATAACTATAAGATTTGGAATTTAAGGTTTCCTAGAGGTGCAAGCCCCTATGATTAATTACTTCTTTTGATAACGAAATGATACTTTCAAGTAAGATTAGTTATTAGAGCGTTGATTGCTCAATGTATAGTAGTGAAAATTAGATTTTTTTTTTGTATAAATTTATTATTGTGAGCTTAAAAGCATATAGTGGTAGAATGGTGCTTCGCCTACCCTATAAAATTGTCATATTTCTATCACCTTGAGCTGTGGTGGTCCTTGGTCTACTTACTTAGAGGAGGTTGTTGACCCAATATGACAGAAGGATCCTTACAGTAGTTATGATTTGCTTTTTCTATGATAAACTTGTAGACCTGGAATGGATGTTTTTCGAAATTGTATAAATTCAAGTCGATTTCAGCTAACGAAGTGCTTTGTGCCCCATCAAGTATACTCTATAATTCACTTTGGAGAATGAAGTCATTAGGGAATATATAGACCACAACTGTGATTGTAATATAGTAGTTTGTTTGGCCAAACCATCTAATGAGAGGACTTTGGTCGTAGTCACTTCATTTATGGAGTCTACACGCTCAACCATGCGTTCAAAATTTTTGGGTCATATCTTTACTAACATAAGATTATTTTGAGTGTAAATGCAGTAACATATAAATTAATATTAAATTCATTACTTTTGATAAACCATTGTGGAGGGTAGATGGGATTTGGTTTAAGCCTTGGGAGAAAGAATTCATTTGATCATTTTGAATTTAATATTTCTTTTTAAAAAAGTTATATTAGGATTTGAAAGTATCTTGAACATAGATTTTTCGATTGAAATTTTCATGCAACACAACTATAATTGAAGTATTTTGTCATTTGTATCATCTATAATTGTAATTTTTATTAAATTTTATTATTTAAATATTACTATAACATCAATCTTGTTAACTCCAGTCATTTCAAAGAGGAGGATTGAATTGCATTAATGGAGGTTTAGATTTGTCAACTTCGGTCCTTATGAGGAGGAGGACTGGATTGACTTAATGGAGATCTAGTATTGTCCCCTCCTGCCCTTATAAGATGAAAGTTTAATTGTTAAGGTGGGACTTACAACCTTGTTTTATAGAAAATGTAGCTTACTTATGAGTATGAAAAATTTAATAGCTTTGACTTAGATTTTTGAAAAATAGATTTTTGCAAAAGTTGGATTATTTGTATGATTCTTGAGGCGGATTTTATTTTAATTTAAGTTTATATTTATCTTGTGCATCATTCTTAAATTTTATGGTTAAGCATTTAATAAGTTGATTGGATAGCATGGAACTATTTTCAATTTACTGAATTTGAATATTTTAATGAATTTGGGAAGCTTTTAAAGCAAAATAAATTTAAGTTCAACCTATTTTAGTCTGGATAGTATTTTGGACCGTTTGTTCGAGCATTTAGCATCTTGGTCGGAGCACATGTGGACATTTTTTATTTTGCTAAATTTGGATATTTTAAGAATTTTGGCAGGCTTTCTAAAACAAAATAGGTTTAAATTTTTCCCCATTTTAGCCCGCATAATATTTTTGAACCGTATATTCAAGCGCATAATATTTTTGAACCGTATATTCAAGCATTTTATACGGTAATTGGAGTATATGCGGGTTTTTTAGCTTGACAAGTTGCTTGCATCTTGGTGCACTTGTGTGGCATATTTGCATGATTTTCAAGATTTTGTAAGATGCGAATGCACAAATTATGATAGATTAGAAAAAGTGCCCCATGATGTATGTGCATATTTTAAAGTTATCTGCATTGGTCAATCATCCTTGCTTTTGAGAAGGATGCATGCTTTTCGAGGCCCTTGCATGAATTTCAAGTCTAAACATTTGATTTATAAAAAGATTCTGTAATTAATGTATATCCCAAAATTATTACAAAAAATTAAATGTTTGCATGTATCTTTGGGTCATTGTGATCAAGGAATTTGTTGTTCTTTACATCTTTCATCAATACTTCTGGGATTTCTTGAGCGAGAGTAAACGTACATAACAATTCCTATCTCTACCAGACCTACTTCTAATTCCTGATTATCTCATTTTGAAGTAGTGATGCTCATGCTTTACTTTTTCTTATTGAAATTTCCTTGGAAGCTGAATTTATTGAACTATTACTTGAGATTTCATCACTCTATGCCTATGGACTATCACAGAGATTTTTTTTCACTCTTTCTTAAACATTCAAGCGTACGAGTTATAAGTTCTGGATTTTGGTAAATTTTCTATTTTTTAATTATACTTTTTGATGTTATTGTGTTGTGTTTGGTAAGAAAGATATTTATCACTATTCTCATAAAGATAGACTAACTGCCTTTTGAGTATTGTGTCCATGATTCTGAAGCTATAAGTGGTGCAAACTTACTATACAATAATTTTACTGGCATATTTTGTACAGAAATTTTAAGTTTGGTATGTTAGATATTTGAAAAATAAGATGTACGACATCACTAATTTAGGCCCATATCTGATAGGTTCATTGCTACCATTTATTTGGAATACCTTTATGCCTTCCTGATGATACTGTGCTTGCTAATCTGAAAATTATAATTGTTGGCTCCATCATATTTTAATCTTATATTTATTTTCTATTTTTTGGGTGGTTTAGAAGGACGAGCGATTGCAGCAACTTCAGCAAACAAATCAAGAGGAATGTATTCCACTTTGTCCTTACTTTATGAGAGATCCAGTTACAAGAGTGCATCTATTGGATTGTTACCTGCTGCTCTGGCTCTTCCTGCTGCAGGTGGGTAGTTGAAATTTAAACTTTCTGAAAACCTTATTTTTTTCATGAATAAAGTACACTTGAAAAGAATTTCAATTCTTTTTGCCATTATGTCAATGGAATCAACACAATTTTATCAATCATCATATGAGATTTTCCCTCTTTTGAATTTCATATTCACTTTACATGAAAAAGGGACAATTCTTCAACCAATTCTGGTAAAATTGCCAAATCTTAACCTCAATGAGAAAAATTTTAGATTCTAATCTTTGCTTGGTTCTTTTTGATTTGTTTTGATACACTGTTTTGATGATTTGATCTGAGTTTCTTCATTTGTTGGAGACCGTTAATGCTCTCCATAATGTTTTTATTATTTTATCTTCACTTCATTTAAAAAATTATTCGGAGATGAATTTCATTTTAAGGAGGTGATCAATGAGATTAGTGATTCTGCTAAGAAGACATTGTCGGTGCTGTTATAATGGATAATGGAGAAAGAAGTGTTCTCTTCCTTGCAGCACCTATTTCTTTGTGACATGAAAAACTTGTTCAACTCTCCAGCCTTATCTGGCAATATTTTTGTCAATTCAGGTTAAGGAAATGATGATTGAGAGTAAAAAATTTTACTTAGAAAGCAGTTTTGGTGCTGATAAGTGGTAGTTGAGGAGGGAGAGTTTTTGTCTATGCCAAGGATACATCATTATGGCTTAAAAAACCCGTTTAAAAAGCATATAGAGGGGTAGAATGGAAAGGTATGGACTGTTTTTGAAGCATGTTGGCACAGCTTGGCTAATTTCAAAGCCAAACATGGTTCACATGGCCCCACCCATCGTTATTGAAACCTTCGGTCCGCTGCTACATTTGAGGGGGAGAAATTATGCGTCCTTAATTATCCAATATTACGTTTTTATTATTTTCCATATTATCATGATGATTTAAATTTCTCTCCAATTATATTATGGTTAGTCCAAGCTGTATATATTTGTTATTTGTTTGCATCAGTTGAATGAGAAAATTAGAGAGTTTTTTTCCTATAAAAAAGTTCCCCCTAAATTCCACATGGTATTAGAGTCTGTAAGAAAATCCTAGCTCTTCTTTCTTAGTCGTAGTTTCTCCCTGTAGCCCTCCGATTAACTTTTTCTCTCCAGACATCACTCCCTGCAAGCTTCCAGGCACAGGTGACCCTAATCACTTCCCAACCATCATTATTCTGCTTCCCAAGTGTCAATCTTCTGTGAGAAATTCCAGTTTGGATTTTCTTTAGTGGAAATTCTAGACTTGCGACTAGAATTCTCCCATCTAGGCCTCGTACGATAATTCTACCTTAGGTGGCAGATGCTTCATCTTTCTCGTGCAAATCTTGTATCGACGATAGAGAATTTCACAGCCTGATTCATGACTTGGAATTAACCAAGACGAAATTGGATGGTAGAACGGTGAAAATCAATTCTTTGTTATTTAATTTCTATCACTAATAAGTTAATATTCAAATATATAAGAAAGCACCACTAAAGAAAGTACTTAAAATAAAAAACTTGAAATTTATACCTTTTTGGGTATTATTCTTGCCTCCTATATACATTTGCCTATCTTTTATTCATCTTTTTAAATGTTTAAAATCTGAAAAATATTAAAAGAACACATTGAGTTATCTAAAGATAAACCAGGATTTTTCACTCGTATGGTAACTCAAGAAAAATAATTCAATATACATGCTGGTCTTTCAGATCTCTATAAAAAAATCTTATAATATGCTAGTCTTTTATATTTTGTAAAAAATCTTTTATATGTTAATGCATGTATCAATGACATTTTCTAAATGAAAATGCTCAAATTTTCTATATGCATTTACTTTATCTTTACATGTACTTTATATTCTTTACATACACATCTGCCTCTGTGAGGATCACCATTAAAACAACTCATCACACCCATGGTCGATATTGCCCCGTCGACTTCTATCGGCACAGCGGTTTGCGATGTAAATATTACAATTGCTTTGAGTGGAAAGACCCTTGCTTCTTGGCCGATATTATTTTGTCGGCACAACGGTTAGCAATGTAAACATCATAATTATTTAAGAGGTAAACTCTAGTCTACTCTCCCTGACTGATATTATCTCGTCGGCATAACAGTTGGTGATCTAACCATTACAATTATCTTGGATGGTAGAAAAAGCTTTACGCATGCGGGTACACTGTCTTCCGCTTGTACCATTAGTGGGTGAATTCTGAACATGCGCGTACAAACATTTATATATAAACTATTTCATTTTTCATAATATGTATTATTCTGAGACATCTTCATGCATCTACTAACTTACATATCTACTCTGTTTTGCAACTATTTATCATTCATATGTCTCATATTATATATATCTCTTATCTCATAACTATATTTTATATCATTCACATCTTTTCTATCATGCTATCTTGCATATCATGTTTATCATACATCTCATGTATATCTTTTATATATTTTTTATAATACATATTTTTTCCGTCTAAATATATGAAGAATTCACTGTATTATAAATTTAGCCGAGCTTAAGCATATATATAAATTAATATACGTTTTGAAATAAAAATATTACTGAAATTTAAATATGTAATTACTCATCTTGGTTGCAATGCAAAATTCTTAATCTTTTTCAACTAACTGGATGTGCAATAATTTTTATGTTGATCTTAATAATCTATAAAACATAATGTTTATTTAATATTTATATAATTTCTGTTAATTGAATTATTCTTCTTAAATTAGCCTAGGATTATTTACCTGAAATTGACGGAACCGCTGTACGACAAGCTTCTATACGTTTGCTTTGAACTTGCCGCCTTTAGTAACCAACCTGAAATCTTAAATGACTTGTGAATTCAAGATTTCTTAGCTCATAAAGTGATTTATCTTGAAATAGAATTGATTTGCCAAAACATACTTTAAATAGACTTCTCTGCAACATGCCTTTCTCCAAAACTGTTAAAAATCTCTTTCCTCTTCTTCTTATCCCCTTATCCCTTCTTCTATCTTCACTGATATCTTGCTAAGCACTTACAAAAGTTTACAAATCACTTTCAATACTTTCGACACAAGCACGGCGTCTCCGACGGTTACTAGAAAGGCAAAAGATGCATGATTTGTGGTAAACTCAAAATGAAACCAAGAGGAAGAGGAAGGAAATGAAAGTCTCAAATGTCGCTTTTATCAGTTTCGTACCTTTTGATTTCATCCTAGCATTCGGGTTAGTGGCCTGCGGTGCGGTATTCGGCGGGCTACTTGCATGCCTTTATTTGTATCTGGCTACAGTAGTCAGGCGCTGGAGCCCGTAGTAGGAGAAAATAGGAGAGGGAGAAGGGGAAATGCAGATGAAATTGAGAGATGGGAGAGGGGTTTGATGACTGGAGAGGATTCTCCCATTTGACACATCCAGAGCATTAAAAAAACTAGGGTAGGTCGGCTGGGAATAGTAAGGTGTGGGAGAATTAAGGAATTATTTGGTTTAATTAAATTAATTATATTTATATCTTCCAATTTTTTTATTTCCCAATTCATTCAAAATTTATATATAGCATTATATATCGAATTTATCGTCTTGACGCATAAAATTTTATAAAATTAATTCGATTAAAATCAGAGTTATCTGAAATTTGGGGTACATTTTAAAGTTTCCTAAATTTTTGCGTGATTTCACAATATTGGTTATTACAGTCTCACATTCTTATAAAATTTACTCGAAACTCATGAACACATTAATTATAAATACTATGAGAATGAAACATAAAGTGATTAGAAAAGTCTGTTTTTGTGAAGTGGTAACTAAAGCATATGTGATAAATTATACATCGAATAAATCTAACATAACACTCAAAAATAATTCTTCCATCAAGCTCTATGCATTAGCATGAATGGCAACATGCTCTTCTTGTTCCTGATGAGTTAAGGAATAAATTCTTAGACGAATGTTGTGCTTTGGTTTTTCACTATGATTCATAGTGCTAGCTTCTGTTATGTTCTACTGACCACTTCTAAAAGTAGGTTTCTCTGAGCTGAATCTTTTCCTTGGGTTAGCATCTGATGTGGATATCTGAACAACATTTGGGTAGTTTCTCCTCTGATGTTCAGACTGTCTGCATAAGTAATACACCTTCAACTTTATCTTTCTCACAATAGACTCTCCTCTTGAATGAATTGTTGGAGGCACTTTTTCCGAACTCTCCCTCTTGTTCAAATCTCTATGCTTTTGAGATTGTTGTAGATCAACTCCACCTTTCTAGCTTTCTCTACTTGTATTGAATAGTCTTCAATTCCAAGTGGTATTAGTGATTGCCTAATTAAATCCTTCAATCCAGAAAGAAATCTGTGACATTTCTCCTCTGAGTTGTGATGCATATCTCGATAGCATAGTGAGCTCCGCTTTGCACTGCATAACTTATCAATTTCCTTGCACCAATCTAATGAATTTATCTTCTATCTGTCTTCTAGCCGACAGTGGTACAAACCAATCTTTGATGGTTTTCACAAACACCTCATACTACATCAAGTGGTTGTTTCTGCCTCCAAACCTCTCTTGCACTTGTACTTGCCATCATCTCTTGGCTTCTCCTCAAAAGCAAATGTGGCAAGGGTAACTCTCATCTCTGATGGACTAGAGAACCTCTAAAATTTTCTCCACTCTCAATAGCCAATTTTTCAGCTTTCACTGACCCTCCTGCTCCAGAAAACAAAAGTGGTCTCATATATTGAAAGAGCTTCATGTATTGGTGCTCTTTCACTGCTACTCACTTGAGATTGAGAATTCTTAATCAATTGAGTCACAACATTCATTATATCAACACTGACTGTGACATTCTCCCGTACATCATAGTCAACATTATAATCTCTTAGATATTTCTTCGGATTATTCATAATACTGAAATAATACTTAATTTACTTAGACTCAATTAAAGTTTTTAATTTCTATTTTTTATAACTTAATCCAATATTCTTATTAGTTCTTTCATTAAGATAAGTATTGTTTAATC